TTCTGGTTTTCGTTCTTTTTGGGTTCGGGGGGGGGGGGGGCACATGCGGGGAGAATGGTTTCTTCGGCTTGTCATGATTTGTTGTAAATTGACATTACTGATAATTGAGGTCCTGCTGACTATTGTAGGCCGCACTTGGTGGTGCTGTTGGTAATTTGCAGAGAATCCGTGCCTTTCTCAGGGTTAGTTTGGCATCTCTTTAGCATGTCATTAGTTATCTGCAATCTTCGTTTTAGGAGGCTGGCATATATCATTTTCCATGGTTATAGCATTGTGGAGATTGTTTTTTATTTTCTATGACTGGCATTAGCGTGATTGTTCTTCCCTACCTCAGATCCGTCTAAGGGACTATGGGGTCCTTGATTTTGATGCGGTTGATGCCCGTAGACAGCCTCCTGTTGATACCACCTGGCAGCAGGTTTGAATGCTTTACTCTGATGACACAAACCATCCTTATGCAGGCTTTTGCATTTTGTTATGAACTTTAGATGTTTCCATTAAGGTTTCTTTTCTTCCTTTTTTGATAGGTGATATTTCAGTTATGGTTTAGATCAATCAATCTAATCATATGTGCAAGTTACGACTGTTCTCTTATTTGTTCTTGTATTTCAAGAATTGCCATTACTTGTATAAAACCTTCAGGTTTGCAAATCATGTAATTGACGCATATCAAATCAAACTAGATAACCTCCTTGTGATTTGAAAAGGAATTTGACCAGATTCTTTTTATAAACATATATGTTAGGCTATATTCTGTGCAATTGAGTAGTTTCACTTTCTTGTTTTTTCATCAGCTGGTTGGTGTTATTTTCCTTCAGGATCTTAGTGTTGTTTGAGATTTAATTTATCTAACAATTTCTTGAATTAACTAGGGAGTCTTTCTTTTCTCTTGTATTTTCTTTACAACTTTTTTTTTCTTTGGATGCTTTCCTTCCAATATTTGCTGGCTTATGATTATTCGACAATCTTAAATTCATAGTTGGTTCCTTTATTTGTTATACCTCTTGCTTCGACCAGCTGCAATAATTTATATAGTTTTTGTGCTCTAAACTTTTGCTATTTTCATCGTTTTAGATTTTCATAATTTACTATCAATCTAGCAACAATGTAGTAGTAACAACAACAACAACAACTACCCAGTATAATCCCACAAAGTGGGGTCTGGGGAGGGTAATGTGTACGCAGACCTTACCCCTACCCTGATAGGGCAGAGAGGCTGTTTTCGATAGACCCTTGGCTCAGAAAGACGGAAATAAAAAAAAAAAAACAAGATAAGACAATTCATTAGTAACTCCAGTAGAAACCGTAATAGTAACAGAAGCATAACAACCAAAAGATAAATGACATGCAATAACAGTAACCAGTATCTAAGGCCCGGGGCTAAGATAAACAGCAAGGATAGTGTGGACTCAACAATGTAGTGGTAGAAGAAAATAAATACGAGTAGAAGGTATTGCTCTTGGTCATGACCAATTATAAAATGTGCATTATTGCTGCTTTACCCTGTTTTGGAACAACTTGAACTTTTAACTGCACCTTTAACTTTACCAAGAAAATGTATAAATCAAACTGATTCGGGTTATTCTATCTAAAATAGATATACTTTTGCTTGAGAACCGGCTACTACAATGAAGCAAGAGAGATTGCCCAGCTATCTCGCATGTCCCACCAGTTTGCTCCTCTGGTATGTGTTCTGTCAATTTCATATCTCGTACTCCCTCCGTTTCAATTTATAAACCTATTTGGCTGAGCACGGAGTTTAAGAAAAGAGAGAAGACTTTTGAACTTGTGGTATAAAATAAGGCACACATATTTTGTATGGCTATAAATCCTTGCATAAAGGTAAATTGTTTCCAAATAGGGAAAGTGGTCATTCTTTTTGGCACGGACTAAAAAGGAAATAGGTTCACATAAATTGAAACGGAGGGAGTATTTGTTGTCCATTCATCTTAAATTTTAACAGTCCCTGTTTTTTGCAGCTGACAGAGTGGATTTCCAGTGGAGGCATGGTATCAGCAGAGACAGCGGCAGTTGCTTCAGAAGAATGTGAGAAGATGTTAAGGTTGGGTGATCGAGCAGGTCGACCAATGTACGATAAGAAAAAGTTGCTACTCTACACCATAATATCTGGTTCCCGTAGGCAAATTGACAGATTTGTTCGAGAATTCCCTACACTTTTCTCTACTATAGAGGATTTCTTGTGGTTCAAATTATCTGCTGTACGTGAGAGTCCTGTCAGGTCTTCTGTTGTCCTAAATGAGGGGTTGGCACCTTACACTTTGGATGATTTGCAAGCTTACCTAAACAAGTTTGAGCCATCACACTATACTAAGAATGGAAAGGATCCTTTGGTTTATCCTTATGTTTTACTTTTAAGCATCCAGCTACTTCCAGCCGTCCTTTATTTGTCCAAGGATATGGGAGATGAAGGATATAATGTAGATGCTGCTCATATGGCTATTGTGTTGGCAGACTATGGAGTCCTCTCTGAAGGAACAGGGTTAGGGCAAAAATTTGGGGCCATGGATGCTTTTGCTGAAGCTTCTAGCATAATTAGGCAGTATGGATCATTTTACCTGCGTCATGGTGATCTGGCAATGGCATTGGAATACTATGTGCAAGCAGCAGCAGCAGTTGGTGGTGGGCAGTTGTCATGGAGTGGACGTGGTAATATGGATCAGCAAAGGCAAAGGAGCTCAATGTTGAAGCAACTTCTTACAGAGCTTTTGTCGCGAGATGGTGGTATTGATATTTTACTTGGTCCAAGGGGTACTGGAGAAGAAGGTCAGCTTGGAAGGTTTTTAACAGATGAAAAGACAAGACAACAGTTTCTACTTGACGCTGCTCGGCAGTATCAGGATGCGGGGCTTTATGACAAGGTAATCTTTTCTTTCTTCCTTTTACTTAGTGACATAACCAAGTTTCATACTTATTGCTCTAACGTGTGCAGTTCGAGATAAGTCTTAATAATCAATCTGAAGTGTTCCTTTCTCCATTCAATGACAGTAAATTACCTCTATGGACTGTAGCATGAAATCTTTTTTTTTTGGGGCTTGATTTGAAGTCTTCTTTTCTTGAGCAATTGTTGTGCTTAGCGAATGTCTCGTCATGTACTTTCTGTTGATCTATCTGTAGACAGACAATTTTCTCTTTTCTATGCTTTCATCATAACCATGGTGGTCTTGAGCTTTAGGCATATTCTGCTTAAGGATTCTTGACCATGTTGTAGTAGTGAATCTTTTTGTACTCGGTTAATGAAAAGAGGCCAAGTAATAATAATCAGCCCAATTGACTGAAGCTGAAGTTGCGGAATGTGAAATTGAGGATAACCCCGATGCAACGTGGATCCTTTGTCCTACTGAAGGATAACTGGTCAATTGATTGCTACTCTCGTTCATTTTGAACAAATCTTCTCTTCCATGGAAAAAAGGCCAAAATGTTGCTGGCCTAACTTGTGCTGCTGTCTCCTTCATGTTTTCAGAACTTCTGCATGGAAGTTTTGTTTTCATACCTTCTCCTATGCTACAGCTTTTCCCCCTTTTCATATATAACTTGATGGGAAAAAGATATTCTTGCCCCATGCTTTTTTTTCCTCTTTCAATTGAGGATGGTTAACTTTTGTAACACTTTTCTTCCTTCATTACCAAATGCGAATTAAATCCTCAAGGTGGTTCATTTGCAGTTCTAAATTATGATAACCTTTATTTCTGTTACTTCACCTGTCCAAAATTTTGATGAGTTTTGATGAACACATGTAAAGCTAATGTAGATCCAAATGCACATTATTGTGCATGAAATAAAGCTGCTATAACATTTCCTTGTATGAGTGTTTCTAAAGTTCTTTAATTTTTATCTTCCAGTAAATTGTTTACTATTTTCACTAATCAGGTTTGTCTTCTTATCTCTATGCTCCAGCCCTTTCCCTTTTCTCTTCTGTGGTATGATGTACTTATCACTCCGTGAATTTTGTGCGCTTTAACATTTTACAGTCCATAGAGATTCAAAAGAGAGTGGGGGCATTTTCAGCTGCATTGGATACGATAAACAAGTGCCTTTCTGATGCAATATGTGCATTGGCACGTGGAAGGTTGGATGGGGATAGCCGGACATCTGGGCTCATTCTTTCAGGAAATGAGATCCTGGAGATGTTCAAATATTACCCTGACATCAGGTAATATGCAGAATTGGCTGGTGGTCAAACATTATTTTCTGCGGCTATAAATCATTTCTTATTATGATTTTTTGAATGCCTCGTAACTGTTCTGGAATGGAAGCCTAATCTCATCCTTCTGTGCAGTCCCCAAGAGAGAGAGAATGTGTTGGCACAACAAATTGTTCTAAGACAGCTGGAGGCTGTGCTATCTATTCATAAGCTTGCAAGACTTGGGAATCACTTGGATGCTATAAAGGAAGTGGCTAAGCTCCCTTTCCTTCCTTTGGATCCAAGGACGCCAGATTTCGCCACAGATGTCTTTAAAAATTTGTCTCACCATGTCCAAGTTTGTGTACCAGACCTCCTAAAAGTTGCGCTTCATTGCCTGGAGAATGTCAGAGATACTGATGGGTCACTTCGTTCTTTAAGGGACAAGGTAAATCTTACAGCATACATGTTCATGTTCATTCTCATCCATTTTGTCTTTTGGTTGCTCTTTGCATAGTGGCTCTGCTCCTAGCTTCTTATAGGTGCCCTTTGTAGTTATGTTCACTTTGTTTTTTTACTTCCAGTTATGTTGTGTGCTTGTCCTTCATGACTCTCACTTTTCCTAAGTGTTTTTTCCTTGCTGTCATTGCTTGATTCACTCTTAATAGGCAAGACGCAATTGGGGAGCTCATCCTTTTGATTTAATCTGTGGTGGTTTTGTATTCAATATCCAATGAAATGGGTTGAGCGAATTATGTTCTGAGGTTATGACTAGGGTCACTGATTCCAATTCCAAAATTATGTTTCGCAATTTCATAATCCAATTTTTCAACGTCTAAGTGACAATTTTCTGATGCATGTGCCTTTGGGGCTGCTTGATTTGTTGGGCGGAGTACAGCATATTAGGCTGTAAATAAATGGAACATGTTAGGCAATGGGATTAACTGAAGTTGTGTAGTGAAGGCAGCTTTCTATGTGTTTACTTTTGTCAGCCTATTCTTGTATGGTTTTAGATAAAATGACAGCTTGGATCAGGCGAGATGAGGTGGATCTGTCATGCATTTCTTTTGAATAGTGGATCCGTCATAAATTTCTCTTCACCTTGTTTTTTATTTTCTGGCTTCCCAAGAAGGTGCTTGTCATGTTTAAGTTTCTATTCTTATGTAGTAGACTACCTTTTCCCCGATTAGTATGACCCAGTTTTATTGAACAAGATTTATCTGATGAATCTTTGGCCGGGTTGCAGAAATTGACAAGTTTATTGTTTCAAGATAAATAGTGTAAATCTAGGAAGCGCTTAAAATGCATCGCTAAGTTCAGATGTTAGCTAAATATGATGAAAACCTAATCTAACAAAGAAGAATGGTGACTCTTTGAATAGCAACTTGGTTATAGAAAATTGAATGGAAGGAGTATATTAGATGTATCTATCAAAAAAGTAATTTGTATGTACTCTTGCCTGATTCATAATATTCTCTTCAAGTGTCCAGCTAGAATCTAGGAAAACGTTTTTGCTTCTGTTTTGAGTTCATAGGGGGTACAGTTCAACCAACTTCTAACCATTTATATCGTACTTGATGTTTGATTACTGAATGAACGAGTGAGCTGGAATGTCTTTCTCTTATTTAGATGTAATAATATTTGTTTATAGATTGCTTATGAGTCCACCATCAACAGAGTGTTTACAGAGTATTTGGCTTCTGAATGTCATTGACTAAGTCAGATAGAAAGCATCAGCTAATACAATGTTTATTTCTTAAGATGTTATCTAATGCATCTGTGAGAATTTGTTCTTTAATCTCTCATGTTAAATTACAGCAGGTTCTTTACTTCCTTAAGTTAAAGTGTTTTTTTCAGTTTTAAAAAGTTAGTTCTACTCAAGATGATGGCCTTTTGAGTTTTGATGATGTTGTACAATATTTGGATCAGTAATTGGACTTATCATTTATTAAGTCACATCACTTTTGGTTAACAAGAACATCTTATGAAATTGATGTGAATTTGGTTCTGCAGATTGCAAACTTCCTCGCAAACAATATGAATCAGAATTGGCCTCGTGATCTGTATGAAAAGGTTGCTCGCACTTTGTGAAGTTGAAGAATCACAGTCAGTCTGCTGTAGTTTAGCTTTAGATGTTCAACATTGTACAAAGATGGTTGAACAGGCCAAGTCTGTCGAAATGGTGATAGCCGTACATCCAAGATGTATTTGCTTAGTCTTTACATCTTCTAGGTGTAATTTGGTAAATGGATCTCTCGAGAGATTTGCTTGGATGGATATGTAATGTCCACAATGGCAATCTGGCAAGACAGTCAGGATGTGTTCTCTCCTTTTGATGTCATATGCAAGTCTTGCCAGTCCCCTGGTTGCAAAATTTTCTAGTACTTCATTACAAGTGTAACAGGTTCTATGTTTATGAATTGTGTTGTCTGTAAGTGTTCTGTGCAATGACAAAGACACTAGAACCCTGGCAGTTTAACACGACGCTATATCTGAGGATTGAAAGTTCTATACATTAATCATTTCTTGATAAGCACACGGCATATAAAAGTAAGACATTTTTCTTTGAATCTTGATCATAGCAACAAAGGGGAACCTTGGCGTATATGGGTTCGAGCCGTGAAACAGCCTCTTATAGAAATGCAGGGAAATGTTGTGTATAATAGATCCTTGTGATCCGTCTTTTTCCGGACCCCGCGCATAGTTGGAGCTTAGTGCATCGGGCAGCTCCTGTTTTATTTTTTTATTTTTTATTTATTTTTATATCATAGCAACCACTTTGAAGGAAGAGTGGCTAAAGTTAAAAGATAAAATAAGTTAAAAAAGATTAGTTTGCCTCATCAACACATCCTTAGGTGGCTTTCAATGGAAAAAAAATAAACTATAAGATTGCTTTCAATGAGGTTTAATACATAGTTTTACCCTTGAGCTTGTAGCCAAATTCCTGTTATACATCCTATTCTAGGGGAAATTTTTCTATAGACCTATTGTCTCCTCAGAATAAGGGTGGCGAATGAACCGGTCAGGTCGGATATAGGCGGGTTGAAAACGGATAATGCAAAATGGATAAATTATCTGACATGACCCATAATTAATACGGATAAAAATGAGTTCACTGGCAGATAATATAGATATCAATATTATCCATGACTTTTTGAATATAATCACTTTCGGGAGAATTCCTAATCTCCACACTTGAGAACCCTAAATTTGAGGCTTTAGAAATGTAAAAGTTAAACCCATTAGTTATCTATTTTCTAAGCGGATAATATAGTTCTTATCCATATTTGACCCGTTTTTAATTCATTATCCAACTCCTTTTTAATGGATAATATGGGTGAATAACTATTTTCTTTTAACATTTTGCCACTACTACCGGTGTGTGTCTAAGACTAGTTAAGCATAAAAATAGTGTCTTAGATATTTGGTCTATAGAAAAATTTCCCGTAAAAAAATTGCGTAATAGGTTTTTGGCTATAAGCTCGGGCAGTAAATTATGTACTATTAGACCAAAAAAAATTAATCTTACCTATCAATAGATGCATGCATAAACGAACTTGGAGTGCACGGCAGTCAAATGAGTCAACTTCATTTCTCATCCAATTGAATAAATTTATTTTTTACATGACGTAATGATATACGTCATTCCACATGTGCCTCTTTGTATCGTGACAAGAAGATAAGTCTAATAAAGTAAGCTGTTTATATTTGTATATAAAACCCTTCCAATACAAACTTTATAAAAAGGCAATCAAACTCCTCTGTATACTTCAATTCAAATTCTCAAACTTGTTTTCTCCATATGGATAGCAGCAATGAAATAGCTATAGTTATGGTTCCATTTCCAGCTGAAAGCCATCTCAATCAACTTCTCCAACTTGCCTGTATAATCACCTCGTCCTCTAAACTTCCAGTATACTATATTGGTTCAGCCACTCATAATCTTTAAGCTCGTGTTCGAGCCAACGCCTTAAATCCTTCGAACATAGCCAAAATCCATTTCCATGATCTCCCAACTCCTGATTTTGCTTCACCTACACCTAATCCTAATGCCTTGAGTAAATTCCCATCCCAACTTTTCCCATCCTTTGATGCTAATTCTAAGCTTTTGCGCGAGCCTATTGCTTCTTTCCTTCGAGATGTTTCGTCTAAATCAAGACGGGTTATCGTTGTTCATGATGTTTTAATGTCATATAATGTTCAGGATGTTTCTTCCTTGCATAATGTTGAGTCCTATATATTTAACTGTGTTTCTTTTTTCTTTATGTATTGTAGTTTCACATGCATACCTAAAGGAATGCCTATTCCACTTGAAGATGAATTACTTCAAAAGTTACCTTCACTTGAATTAGATGCACCAGAAGAGATTAACAAGTTAGTAGCTTTTCAACTTCAGTATAGAGATATTAGAGCTGGTGATTTGTACAATTCAAATAAAGTACTTGAAGGTAATTTTCTTGATTTGATGGCAAAATTTGCTAGTACACAAAATAAGAAGCAATGGGCAATCGGACCGATTTTACCTACTAAACTAGATCATGTATCAAATAAGAGAAACATATGTTTAGATTGGCTTAACAACCAACCTCTAAGATCAGTTCTTTATGTATCTTTTGGATCGTCGACTACATTTTCTGATAAGGAAATCATGAAGCTCGGGCTGGGATTAGAGCGAAGTGAACAGAAGTTCATATGGGTGTTGAGAGATGCCGATAGAGGAGATATATTTAAAGGGGAAGATAGAAGATTTGAGTTGCCAGAGGGGTTTGAAGAAAAAGTTAAAGGGGTCCGGTTAGTGGTAAGAGAATGGGCGCCACAGCTAGAAATCTTGGCTCATTCGTCGACAGGTGGGTTCATGAGTCATTGTGGATGGAATTCTTGTATAGAGAGTATTACTATGGGAGTGCCAATAGTTGCTTGGCCTATGCATTCTGAACAACCAATTAATGCCTTTTTTTGTGACGGAAATACTTAAAATAGGACTGATTGTGAGAGAGTGGGAGAAACGCGAGGAGCTAGTGAGTGCCTCCACTATTGAGAATGTTGTGAGGAAGTTAATGGCATCAGAAGAAGGCGATGAGATTAGGAAAAGAACAGAAGAATTAGGAGAAGCAGTAAGGCAGTCCAGAGAGAAAGGGGGTTCTTCTCAACTGGAGTTGCATTCTTTCATTGCTCATATCACAAGATAGACTTTCGAAAACAGCCTCTCTACTCCCTCGGGGTAGGGTTAAGGTCTGTGTACATACTACCCTCCCCAGACCCTACTAGTAGGATTTTAGTGGGTCATTGTTGTTGTTGTTGTTGTTGTTGTTTGTTTATGTCCTACGTACATAGAAATATTTTATGAAAAAAGATTTTGTTTGTGGATTGCTGTGTACTGTTTTGGCTTTTGTAACTCTTGGATGATTGTTTATTGTAAAGTACAGAGACAATAGAGAAATCTCTCTTGTGTTGTATTCAAGAAGTAACAAGTATATATACAAGTACATAGAGTCTTAATTATGGAAAGAATCAAAAAGAAAATCCTATAAATCTGCTGTGAATCCCTATAATTATGCTAGCTATGTATATTACATAAGATTATGTCTACATTCATTATCTAACACTCCCCCTTAAGCTGGAGCATAGATATTGATCATGCCCAGCCTGTTACAAAGGTAATCAACTCGAATTTCATTCAACGCCTTTGTGAACAAATCAGCCGGTTGCTCTCCTGTCTTCACGTAGCCAGTGGAGATCAAGTTCTCCTGAATCTTCTCACGAATAAAATGGCAGTCAACCTCAATATGCTTAGTTCTTTCATGATACACCGTATTTGACGCAGTATGGAGGGAAGCTTGATTATCACACCAGAGTTTTGCTGGTATTGGATGCTCTAACCCAATTTCAGTCAACAGATGATGTATCCACATAATCTCACATGTAGACTGTGACATAGCTCTATACTCGAATTCTGCACTAGATCAAGATACAACATTTTGCTTCTTACTCCTCCATGATACCAGGTTTCCTCCAACAAAGACACAATAACCTGTAGTAAATCTTCTATCAGTTTTCGATCCAGCCCAGTCAGCATATGCAAAACACTCAATACGAGTATGATTGTGATTGCTATATAATATGCCTAGTCCAGGAGCTCTTTTCAAGTAACACAAAATCTGTTCCAAAGCTGCCCAATGTTTGACTGTTGGTGCAGACATGAACTGGCTAACAACACTTACCGCAAAAGCAATATCTGGACGAGTCGCAGTAAGGTAGTTTAATTTCCTAACTAACCTCCCGTATCTCTCTGGATCGTCAAAAGGATCACCATCATCTTTCATAAGATGCACATTAGGAACCATTGGAGTAGTGCAAGGTTTAGCTGCCAACTTTCCAGTTTCTGCAAGCAAGTCAAGAATGTACTTTCTCTGAGACAAAAGAATTCCCTTCTTGCTTCTATTTACTTCTACTCCCAAAAAGTATTTCAACTGGCCCAAGTTCTTTGTATGAAACCTAGTATGCAGAAAAGACTTGAGGGAAGAAATCCTCGCATAGTCACTTCCTGTGATAACAATATCATCAACATATAAAACAAGGAGAATAGTGCCGGCTACTAATTTCCGATAGAAGACCGAGTGATCGCACTTACTCATTTCCAACCCAAACTCCTGAACTACCTCACTGTACTTGCCAAACCAAGCTCGTGGACTCTTTTTCAAGCCATAAAGGACTTATTCAAATGACAGACTTTCCCATACTCCCCCTGAGCAAAAAAACCGGGTGGTTGCTCCATATACACTTCCTCCTGAAGATCACCATGAAGGAACGCATTCTTGATATCCAACTGATGTAAAGGCTAATTCTCGGACGCAGCTAGAGAAATAAATAAGCAGACAGAACTGAGTTTGGCAACCGGGGAGAAGGTGTCAGAATAATCCACCCCATAAGTCTGAGCATAGCCTTTCGCCACAAGTCTGGCCTTAAGTCTTGCCACAGAACCATCTGGATTAACTTTAACTGTAAAGACCCACTTGCATCCCACTGCTTTCTTTCCCTTTGGTAAATCTACCAAATCCCATGTGCGGTTGTCCTCTAAAGCATGTATTTACTCAAGCATTGCATCAGACCATCCGGGATGATTCAAAGCCTCCTTCACTGTTTTGGGTACGGAGATGGAGTCTAGAGAAACAATCATAGATCTAGACGTAGAGGATAAGTGGTCATAGGAAACAAAGTTAGCAATAGAATATGTCGATTTGCAAGTACGTGTACCTTTGTGAAGAGCAATGGAAGGTCAAGGTTATCTGGAGGATCAGGCAAAGGAGGATCAGATGATGCAGGAACTGGTGCGGGACATGTATCATTTGTCTCTCACCTCCGCGAATAAACTTCAACAACTGGAGGTCTTGCTGGAGCAGGTACTGAAGGCATGATAGTTGATTGGTGCTCAATAGAAGAACTGCGAGATCGAAGAGTATCATCTGATTGTTCTGTCAAAGTACGGGTAACCTGATATACTAGCCACTCATCTTCCTCCCCCTGGCTTGTAGAAATGGGAGGTGCATAGAAGAATGGTGTAGTCTCTGAAAATACCACATCAGTTGACACTAAATATTTTCCAAGCTCAGTGGAATAACATCGATACCCCTTCTAAAGGCGAGAATAGCCCAGGAAAACGCACTTCACATCCCGTGGATCCAACTTGGTAAGAGATGGTCGAACATATCGAACATAACATGTGCTTCCAAACACCTTAGGTTCCACCGGAAATAATGACTTATTCGGAAGAAGAACACTATAAGGCACATTACCATCGAGTACACTAGATGGCATGCGATTAATCAGAAAACAAGCCGTAGAAACTGCATCAGCCCAGACTGTTTAGGAACCTTCATTTGGAACAAAAGTGCTCGAGCTGTCTCAAGTAGATGCCTATTCTTCCTCTCAGCAACTCCATTTGAGAGGGTGTATCAACATATGAAGACTGATGTAATATGCCATGTTGTCTCATGTAGGACTGAAATAACTCTGACATGTATTCTTTAGCGCTATCACCCCTTAGAGTACGTATTGAAGCATTGAATTGAGTTTTGAATTCAGCACAAAAGGCAGAAAAATGAGTACACACTTCAGAGCGGCTCTTCATAAAGTAAATCCAAGTCATTCGAGAAAAATCATCTATAAAAGTGATAAAATACTTATGCCCAGTTTTAGAAACAACCGGACATGGTCCCCAAACATCAAAATGGACTAACTCAAAAGCTGACTCAGCTTGCTTATTAACCCTTGGACTTAACGAGATGCGATGGTGTTTTGCAAATCGACATGACTCACAATCCAATGATGAAATATTTTACTGAGGACAGAGCTTCTTTAACAAAGGCAAAGAGGGATGTCCAAGTCGACAATGTGCTTCAAAAGGAGACACGATACTAGAGCATGCAACCGAACTGGCTCCCATTAATCAAGGATGTAGAGATCACCAGATATATATCCTTTACCAATAACCTGCATCGTCTTAAGATCTAGAAAAACAATGATCGGGAAAGAATGCAACACAACAATTAAGGTCTTTGGTAATTTTACTAACAGAAATCAAGTTAAAGGCCAAGTTGGGTAGACTTAATACAGATGATAGGGTAATAGAGGAAGTTGGTTTAACAGTCCCAGATCCAACACTGCTACAAGTTGATCCATCAACTACAGTAACCGGAGATGGTGCTTTATGTGAGCGAAAGCTAGAAAAAATATTTGGATTACATGTCACATGATTTGTAGCACCTGAATCGATCACCCATTTATTGGAAGAGGTGATGAGACATGTTTTATCTGACCCAGCAAAGGCAGTAACTGAAGAAGATTCCTTAACTGATTCATGATATTGAAGGAATTTTAGAAACTCATCCGAAACCAAGATTGTTGGACTAGGAATTTCATTATTATTCTTTACCATCTTTTTTTTCCTTTCAATAACAAACTGATTAAACTAATAGAGGTCCCCGAAGCTAAAAGATACCCAAGCATATCCTGGTAGATACGAAATCAACAATCTATTGAACAAGATTCAACTTTAATAATCCACTCAACCAAATCAGAGAACCAAACGAATTTGTCCCCAACTCAAACAAAATCAGAGACCAACAAAGTTTCTGATAAGGAAAGACCCAACAGACAATATCAAGTCACTAATCAATCACCACAATGAGTCAAAAATAAAGATGCAAGCTTCTCACACAGGCAACCTCTAAGAAAAGTACCACAGAATTAAAGAAATCGAATAACCAATAAACCAAACTCAAACCTGACCAAACAAAGTGAGAATAAGATCTGGTCTGAGCCCTGAGGTTGTTCTTTGCCAAAATGTGGTTCTATGATCAGAGAACCACCACAAGTCAACTGGAAATGTCAAAAAGACCTCAGATTAGCTTCCGGCCAAGGAATTTTCGGCAGCGGATTTGACTCAACTCCGGCGAGCAGTAGACCTGCTCTAATACCATGTAAAGTACAGAGACAATAGAGAAATCTCTATTGTATTGTATTCAAGAAGTAACACGTGTATATACAAGTACATAGAGCCTTAAATATGAAAAGAATCAAAAAGAAAATCCTATAAATCTGTTGTGAATCCCTATAATTATGCTGGCTATGTATATTACATAAGATTATGTCTACATTCACTATCTAACATTTATAATTTGGCAGACCTCCTACATGTAAAGGTTGTATGCAAAATAAAGCATGCTAAATTATTGTGACACGGTGTTATTGTACCTTTCACCTTGTCACAATAAGAAATGACCAATTACAGTCAAACCTCTCTATAACAACCTCGTTTGTTCCGAATATTTTTGGATGCTATAGCGAAATGTTGTTATATAGAACATTATATTATAATATAACATGAAAATTGGTTCCGGAACAACTTGACTTTTATAGTGAAGTGTTGTTATATAGTGATGCTGTTATAGAGAGGTCTGTATATGATAAAAATTTGGAGGTATGGGAAGAAAAGTATGTGGTGCAAAAGTATTGTGACCAGAGTTTTGGCGTCTTGCATGAAAGTTCACATCAAAAGACTTGGCTTCATCCCAAAAGCTAATAAGAAGTTGAAAAAATTTGTGGTGCTATGGTAAAAAGTTACTTACATAAGGCGTTTACACTATTCCAATAAATATATAATATACGTCTTACAAACATGGTTATCCTTGTACTGATATACGATAATTACTTGATACGCTTTCTCACCCTAATTAACATTTAACCATGGTAAATTTATATAATTTGGTGTAAATACTTGAAAGGAATAAATTTAATAAGAAGTGTTCCTAATCATTCATAGAAGTTTATACCAGTAAATCATGTCATATTTGGCCCCAAGAGAAGCAAGTAATACTCAAAAGCTAGGAAGAAGAATAAACAAGTGCATGGGTACAACAAAAGACATTTACTATAAGATCTATGGACTTTTATTAATAGTATCTAACGTACAATATCTTTTGTTTTATTGGTTCAATCTTTAAGGTTCTTATTTTTATTTTTTAAAATTATAAGTTCAGATCTATTCTTTGTTGCAAAGTTAGTGAATTTTTACACATAAACTTATATTTCAGGCCGAAAATACTAGGTTCAGATAATTCTCGTGCCATAAAGCCGCATCCGCCCTCCATTATTGGAGCAATGCACATCTATTATTTGAGCTAGCTGATTTATATCTCCTTATTATATGCTCTCTATCCTCACAAGGTAGGGGTAAGGTCTACATACACACTACTCTCTCCAGACCCCACAGTGTGGGATATTACTGGGTGTTGTTGTTGTTGATTTAATTCTAGAAGAATATTAATTACTTGAGCTTTAGAGTTTGAATTTTAATTCTGTTAATTTAGGTTAGGAATAATCCTATTAAGTTACTAGATTCTAACCTAATAATTTATACATATAGATTTTTTAAAAATAAAATTTGAACCAAAGCTACTGAGTTTGGCCAAGCACGGAAGCTATTCTCTAGCTCTGCCCTTATTCATGATTGATCAGTTTCCAGGATTCGAGAACCACATGGCCGAAGTTATACACACACACACTTTGTATGTTATACAAAAATTATACACTTTTTCAGCTATCGAATGTAAATAGTTTCTGATGCACGCTAAAAGTGATAATATCCAGAAGTTATACTCTAGCTCCGCCCCTGTTCATGATTGATCAGTTTCTACGACTCGAGAAACACATGCCAAAAATTGTACCCAACAATCAAATAATGGAGAGACCCTACTGAAAATTGTCATGGCCTTAGAATTGAGGGAATTGTACAAAATGTTGTGATGTTATTTATGCGGTTAGTTATGTAAGCTTGTAATTGATAAGTTGTTGTCAAGTGATCAGAGGGTCACGGGTTCGAACGGTGGAAATAGCCTCTTGCAAAAATACAGAGTAAGGCTGCGTACAATAGACCCTTGTGGTCTGGCCCTTCCCCGGACCCGTGCATAGTGGGAGCTTAGTGCACCGGGCCACCCTTTTTTACTTCACTTTATATTAACTTGAAGAAAAATAATAGTTAAACATTACATCCTGAAATACCATTTAGTTTAATCAATGGATAACATTGAAAATCTTGTAAATCAAGAACTTACAAACTTGAAACAAGATGAAGTAGTTGTAATCATAGTTCCATTTCAAGCTCAAGGCCATCTTAACCAACTTCTCCAACTTGTTTGATCTCCTCCTATGGTCTCCGCGTCTACTATGTTGGTTTAGCCGCTTACAATCGTCAGGCCAGGGTCCGAGCCAATGCCTTAAATCCATCCGACATAGCCAAGATTCACTTCCTTGACCTTCCAATAACTCCCGACCTTTCCACTACCCCTCCGCTCGATCCCAATGTCTTGAGCAAAATACCTGTATCCCTCCGGGGAAGGGGTAAGGTATGCGCACATTCTACCCTCCCCACATCTCATTTGTGTGATTTTACTGGGTTGTTGTTGTTGTAGTATATAGGTATTAGCGCCGATGATATCTATAACACAAGCGGAGTAATTGAAGGTAATACTTTTATTGATTTGATGGCACAACTCGCTAGCGCACAAAATAAGAAGCAATGGGAAATTGGACCTATTCTCCCTACTAAACTAGCTAATCATATTTCATATACTAAGAAAAACAACTGTTTGGATTGGCTGAACAAGAAACCTTCAAAATCAGTTCTTTATGTATCTTTTGGAACGTCAACTTCATTTTCTGATGAACAAATCAAGGAGCTCGCGATGGGACTAGAACGAAGCAAACAAAAGTTCATATGGGTGTTGAGAGATGCCGATAAAGGAGATATCTTTACGGGGGAAATTAGAAGATTTGAGTTGCCAGAAGACTAAAAGGGGTAGGTTTAGTTGTAAGAGATTGGGCACCACAACCAGAAATCTCGGCTCATTCGTCGACAGGTGGATTCATAAGTCATTGTGGTTGGAATTCATGCATCGAGAGCATTACTATGGGAGTGCCAATAGCTGCTTGGCCAATGGATTGTGATCAACCAAAAAATGGTTTTCTGGTGACGGAAATATTGGAAATAGGCCTGATTGTGAGGGAGTGGAGAAACGCGAGGAGCTGGTGAGTGCATCCACCATTGAGAAGGTTGTGAGGAAGTTAATGGCATCAGAAGAAGGTGATATGATTAGGAAAAGAGCAGAGGAATTAGGAGCAGCAGTAAGGTAGTCGACAGAGAAAGGGGGCGCTTCTCGAATGGAGTTAGATTCTTTCATTGCTCATATCACTAGATAGATTTGTTTCTTACAAGAATCTTGCTATGGTTCTTAATTTTCCTTATTCAGTCTGTTTTCTCTATTCAATTTCTCATTTTACTTTTTCCATTTTTGTTGATCCTGTTTGATTTCTCTGTTTGTAGCTCAGACTATATCATATCTATAATTTCTTAAATGATCTCGGAATGCTTCAGTACTATCTGAAACTCTTCATCCATATTGGTTATATGACTATATGATTTTGACGTACCAGGAGGTCAGGGGTTCGTGCCGTGGAAACAGGCTCTTGCAGAAATGCAGGGTAAGACTGCGCAGGATAGACCCTTGTGGTCCGTCCCTTCCCCGGACTGCCGGACTCCGCGCATAACGGGAGCTTAGTGCACTGGGCAGCCCTCTACATGGAAAGGTTATATAACAGTTCTATTGTTCTCTACAACTACATAAGTTAAAGTGAAGAAGAGTTTTGGCACAACTTGATGAACAGGAGATAATTGGTAATGAAGTAATATAGCTGAAGATTTCATTTCAAGAAAAGTATTTACATTAAATGCAGCAAATTTATAAAGAGATTTTGGTAATATCTGTAGTTCAAAGCTTATAGGTCAACAATTTAATCATGTTCATTTTCTGTTCTAGAGGACAATTATCAAAACTGTTTGGTATTAAACCTGTCTAATTAAGTACAGACTACCTGTGTGTTGGGCTAAAACAACCGAAAGATACTCCGCAACTAGCTTTTTTTTGTCTATGTGCGTCTCTAAGCTTGTAAGAGAAAGTAAACCGAGCCCCACGCTGTTATTTTGCCCTCGCCATATTCGTCACGCGGAACCTCGGTTCTAATATTAGTTGTTGGTCTAAAACAGCCCAATGATACTCTTAACATGGTGTAATATTGTCCGCTTTGGGCCAAGCCCGCACGGTTTTTCCCAAAAGGCCTCACGCCATTAAGAGATCCCTACACCTTATATGTAGACTCCCAATATTTTCAGCAACCAATGTGAGACTTTGTTCGCACACCCAATATTATGAATCAAACATCATTGAAGAGCAAGAAAAAAAACATGCAGTAAACAAGACTCTAATAACTAAAGTCTTTTGTCATAAAACAGTGCAATATAGGATACATGGATACAACCAATTTATCATAGGCAAAAAACTGAGAAATGTATACAAGATCACTCTCCACATCAACCCTGTGTAGTCTGCATAGTTAGAACCATATTTATTACTATTAGTTAAGCTACTCTCTCTTCACTGAGAGAAATACAAAGCAATAAGTCTATCTTGTGATATGCGCAATGAAAGAATCCAACTCCATTTGAGAAGATCCCCCTTTCTCTGTGGACCGCCTTACGGCTTCTCCCAGCTCTTCTGCTCTTTTTCTAATCGCATCACCTTCTTCTGATGCCATTAATTTCGTCACAACATTCTCAATGGTGGATGCACTCACCAGCTCCTCGCGTTTCTCCCACTCCCTAACGAGCACGCCTATTTTAAGTATATCGGTCACCAAGAAACCATTTTTTGGTTGATCAAAGTGCATAGGCCATGCTACTATTGGCACCCCCATAGTAATACTCTCTATGCAAGAATTCCAACCACAATGACTCATGAATCCACCTGTCGACGAATGAGCCAGGATTTCTGGTTGTGGTGCCCATTCTCTCACTACTAAGCCCACCCCTTTCACTCTTTCCTCAAACCCTTCTGGCAATTCAAGTCTTCTAGCTTTCCCAGGAAAGATATCTCCTTTATCGGCATCCCTCAACACCCATATGAACTTTTGTTTGCTTTGCTCTAATCCCATCGCGAGCTCCCTAATTTGTTCATCAGAAAATGAAGTTGATGTTCCAAAGGATATATAAAGAACTGATTTTGGATGTTGTTTATTCAGCCAAACCAAACATATGTTGTCCCTATTTGAGAGATGATCTAGACGTTTAGTCGGGAGAATTGGTCCAATCGCCCATTGCTTCTTGTTTCGTGTGCTTGCTAGTTGTGCTATCAACTCAAGAAAAGTTGTACCTTCAATTACATAGCTTGTGTTATAGATATCACCAGACCTAATGCCCATATACGGTGCATAAAAACGTCGTCCTAGATGCATGATTTCATCAGAGTAACATCCTTCAAGGGAGGGCAGTCTTTTTAGCTGTTCTGCTTCAAGTGGAATGGGCAACCCTGCTATTTCGCATGTGTAACTACAGTACATATCGAAACTAGAAATGCAATGAAAGATATAGGACTCGACATTGTTAAAGGAAGCAACATCTTGAACATTATAGGACATTAAAGCATCATGAACAATGACAACTCGTCTTGCTTTAGATGAAATATCTCTTAAGAAGGAAGCAATAGGCTTGCGTAAAAGCATGCACGCGTTAAAGAGTGTTGGGATTTCATTAGATGCAAAATCAGGAGTGCTTGGGAGGTCATGGAAGTGGATCTTGGCAATGTCTGAAGGATTTAAGGCGTTGGCTCGGACCCTGGCCTTATGGTTATAGTCGGCTAAGCCAACATAGTAAACGCGGAGACCATAAGAGGAGATTAGACAGGCAAATTGGAGAAGTTGGTTGAGATGGCCTTGAGCTGGAACTGGGATCATGACTACAACTACTTCATCTTGTTTTAAGCTGCAGTTGAGTTCATGGTTTGCAAGATTTTCACTTTTAATATCCATGGGACCAAAAAGGAGTCAGAGGATTCTGTTTTTCTTTAAAGTAATGAAGTGAAGTTTGTGAGATTGTTTTGATTGGGATTTAAAGACATAGAAAGCTTTATATATAGCTAGTCTCTCACCTTAGCAGTATGTCCTTACTTCATGCAACTCATCCAGGGGCGGATCTAGAGTGTCGTCTATGGATTCACGTGAACCAAATAGCTTTTGTCCAGACTCTCTGTATGTATTAAAAAATCTACTCGTGCTCTGTGTGATTCATTTTGAATTCGAGAATCAAACGAGTTTTTCTTTGACTGTGATTTTCTCATATGCCTTTTCAATAATTTCTATTATTAATTATTGTGATTTATAGTACTTTTATGCAATTTCTTCAATATGTAAAATTTATTTCAAAAAACTTAAAGAATTCTATATTCAAATTCGCTATCAAAATTAATAAGTTTGACTCTCGAAATCCGAATGACACCACGTAAATTGGGACGAAGGGAATAAAAAACATCTATAAATATTTGACTGCGATCAAAATTCTTATTGTACATAAACTTGAGATCGTTGTGGGAGCTCATATACTTCAAATCTTGGATCCGCCTTTGACATATACTTATTTAAGCTGAGTTACAAAGGTTATGTTCTTGCACAAAATACATTATCCAATTAAAGTACTGGGTTAGTTATACTTTTACTTTTATGTTATTTCTAAAAGTTTTTTCACTTGAGCCTCTCTTTCTTTAAATATATAAGAAGAGAAGTTTCAACGGCAATTACTAGAATTTTAGGTTGAGTGTATAGTTTTTCTAGTAGGTACGTGATAAAATTAACTATTCTTTCATTTGTATCCATTTATATTTGTTTTTTCTTATTAGCTTTTGTGCATGTCTCCTTTATTTTGGCTGAATTCAAGTTTTTTTGATGTGAAATTTCATGAAAGCTTTACTTCTAATGTCTGACTATTCGATGCGAATCTAAAATTAGTCACATAATGCACCTGATGGAAGTACTTCTAGAATATTGAAAATTAATCTTCAACAGAGTCTCATCCTTTCGCTCGAGATGTATATCTTGAAAATGTATTTTTTTTTTGCTCTCGGTTCAAGTTTACCATCTCTCACATAAGTATAGGCGTGACAACCAAACACTCTCAATTTGAGAGTAATCATCATGTGCGTTGACGATATCTATTATTTATTCGTATATATTATCAAAAAGATTGTCAAATGAATCTGTTGGATGTGAGCCAACTTCGAGTTTCAAAAAATAAATAATTTATTACAATGACAAATATTAATTAGTAGTACTATGTTGTAGTGTTGCCTTCTGTATGACAGCATTGCTATTAATTAGAGTTAGACTAATCATAGTCTATATAAAATCATTAACATTAATTATTCTAATTGCCTTCATTTTAATATTGGATGAATATATTGAAGTTTATAGATTTGAAATTTTAATGCTTTTAAGTTACTGGATTCTAGATTAATAATTTGTACATATTCAATAGATTTCTTAAGATAAATATAGGGTGCGTTGCTTATATTTGCAAGCAGAGTTCAAAGATTTCTCATTTCTAAACTTTCTCATACTCTCTTAAATCAGACAAATTTTTCCCAATGGCTGAAAAATGCACCTCAAACAGCTCAATATATGTAGTCATGGTACCACTTCCAGCACAAGGACATCTCAATCAACTCCTCCATCTCTCTCGACTCGTTTCCTCGTACAATATCCCTGTCCATTATGTTGGAACCACTGCTCATATTCAACAGGCGAAAATCCGGGCTCATGGCTTTGATCCTCTGACCATAACAAACATTCATTTCCATGAATTTCAAACTCCTCCTTTTGAAACTGCCCTTCCAAATCCTAATGCTTCTAACAAATTCCCAAACCACCTAATGCCTTCTTTCTACGCCACGTTCCATCTCCACGAGCCAGTTTGCGCTCTAGTACGCGAACTTTTGAGCAAAAATCATAAGAAAGTGGTTGTTATTTATGATAATTTAATGAATTGAGTGGTTCAAGATTTGCCTAAAATGTCAAATACAGAGTGCTATTCTTTCAATAGTACTTCAACTTTCATGACAAATTCATTTTTGTGGGAATTCAAAGGAAAACCTCTTCTACCTGGAACTGAACTTTATGAGGATATCCCATCAATTTTAGACTGTTTTCCAACAGAGTTTTGGGAATTTTTGACGATACAAGAACAATTTGATGGGAAGATCAGTTGTGGTGAACTTTACAATTCGTCGAGAGTAATAGAAAGTTTGTACCTTGATTTAATGGCTAAAGAATATGATGGCTTGAATCAATGGGCTATAGGTCCATTCAATCCGTTGGAGCCAAATGCGACAAGCAAAGATTCCAACAAACGCCACGACTCCCTCCATTGGCTTGACAAACAAGAACAAAACTCAGTTATTTTCGTGTCATTTGGTACGACTACTTCGTTGTCTAATGAAGAAGTCAAAGAAGTCGCGATTGGTCTAGAGAAAAGCGAGCAAAAGTTCATTTGGGTACTCAGGGATGCCGACAAAGGAGATGTTTTTACAAGTGAAGTTAGAAAAGTCCAATTGCCTAAAGGATATGAAGAAAGAATAAAAGAAAGAGGGATTATAGTAAGAGATTGGGCACCCCAATTGGAAATTTTAGCACATAGTTCAACAGTCGGTTTTATGAGTCATTGCGGATGGAAATCGTGTATGGAAAATATGTCAATGGGAGTTCCTATAGCAGCCTGGCCAATGCATTCAGATCAGCCAAGGAATTCTCAACTTGTAACAAATTATCTGAAAATTGGACTAATTGTTAGGCCATGGACGCGTCAAGATGAACTTGTAACATCAGAAATGATTGAAAATGCTGTAAAAACTTTGATGGATTCAACAGACGGAGATGAGATGAGGAAAAGAGCAGCAGATTTGAGTAATGCTATCAAAAAATCAGTTAAGAATGATGGCATAAACCGCGCTGAGATGGATTCATTCATCGCTCATATTAGTCATTGAAAACAGATTTATCAGTACAATATCTATATGAAATTATAAGAATTACTACTTTATTAAGAATGGTATAATATATGAATTTATATCAATAGTCTATTAAGTGTCTGTCATATGACCAGGAGGTCCGAAAACAGCCTTTTGCAGAAATGCATAATAAGGCTGCATACAATAGTCCCTTATGGTCCGGTCCTTCCTGGACCCCGCACATAGCGACAGCTTAGTGCACCGGGCTGCCCTAGTCCATTAAGTATGCAATATCATGGCTATTTTCGAGTTCCAAGCTGAGGGAACTGCTCCCTTTCTATCTGTTTTTAGCCTCTTTAACTGAAGTATATGTTCTACTTATCTTGAGTTCTTGAATCAGAGTATAAGATTAAGGTATATGAATTTATGAAACACTTTCAACCAACAAAAGAATTCTATTAAAATGTCTACAGAGAGGTTTCACCGACAACAACAACATATCCGATGTAATCCCACAAGTGGGGTTTGGGGAGGGTAGAGAGTATGCAGCCTTACCCCTACCTTGTGCCGGTAGAGAAGCTGTATCCGATAGACCCTTGGCTCAAAACAAACATACATAATCACAACAGTATAGAGAAAAAATACGCAATAGTAAAAAAGTCAAAGAAGCAATAACAACAACAATATCATGGTAAATCTGAAACACAACATCGTCAGATAATAATAGAAATCTAATAATAAGGAAATGCGAGAATAACATTACCACTACTGGAATGAAAGGAGAAGTTTCACTGGAACAACTTCTTTTTTATTTCAGCTGGACTTGGTTGGATGTATTTGTTTCTCACGTGATAATACAAATAAAGAAAAGGGCCAAAAGTTACCCTTTCAACTATTCGAAAAGGACCACTTTTACCATTCGTTAAATTTTGGTACCTATTAAGTCTCCGCCGTCTAAATTTTGGACTACTTCTACACTTATCCTTTAATGGCTGAATCTTAAATCCTAATCCTTGTTTAATTAGATTAATTAGCATAGCTAAAGGGTGGTTTTAAAATTTGTATTTTATCTTTAACTCTAGTACATTGAATGAATAGAATATGTATTTCATGTGAGAAAAGCCAAAAAACTAACAAAACCTGAAATAAAAATTAAAATCAACTCCATTTTATTTGGTTGATTCAAGTCAAAAGCAATAATCTGAAGCAACCTGGACAAATAATAAATCTTAAATTAATCAATTAGATAATAATTGAATAGCTTAACGGTTGAATTCACTATAAATGAGTAATTAGTCCGTCACTAGGAGGGAATGGGGTGGGGAAAAATATACAGGTGAAAGAGATGGATTAAGACATATATTTGTTAACTTCTCCCACTGTGTTTTGTTTAATGGTATAAAGCACAAATTTTCAAAGGTTTGAATTTTCTATTTTCTTTGATTTCCCAACCCAGTGTTAGGTACTCGCTTTGGGACTTGATTAATCCAGATTTGCGCCAGAAAGTCCCACTTTTTGGGGGGCCCCGATTAATCAAGAATTACGCCAGATAGTCCCACTTTGAGGTGATAAAGCGCTCCCTATAAAAGACGACTTCATATCCAGGGCTCGAACCCAAGACATCTGGTTGATGATGAATGAGTACTTATCACTCCAGCACAACCTTTGATGGTTACTCACATTTTATTTGTACATATATATTAATCATGGCCGGTTGAAATGAAAAGGAACTTTATTTTTATAAACACTTTTGACAACAACTTTTATGGTAAAATCATCAAAGTTTCCAAGTCTTAGTTCTGTTTACCTTTGTTCAATTCTCATATATTTCAAAGTCAATACCTTGAAAAAACACAAAAAAGTTTGAATACTAAAAACCTTCTAATTTCTTTCATGGATAGCAGCAAGTTGAAACAAGATGAAGTAGCTATAGTTATGGTTCCTTTTCCAGGTCAAGGACATCTCAATCAACTTCTCCAACTTGCTTGTTTAATCTCCTCATCACATAATCTTCCAGTATACTATGTTGGCTCAGCGACACATAATCGTCAAGCCAGGGTTCGCGCCAACGCCTTAAATCCTTCCGACATAGCCAAAGTCCGATTCTACGATCTCCCAACTCCTGAATTTG